AATATCCTACAATGACAGACAAGAATTCTGACACACAATATCCTACAATGACAGACAAGAATTCTGTTGTGTAAGCATGCATGTGTGTATGTGTGCTGGAGACAGGGTATGTTGGTTGAATTGCCTTCTTATAATAGCGTGGATCTGATGTTGACTTTCTAGTGCTATCTCACTGAAATACTAGGCACCCAGCACAGCATTCTGCCCGGTCACTGTAAACGGGTTAACTAGTTGTTGCCATTAACTTAAATGCTGAACATTAAATAGGGAATAACTAGAACTTTAAGCCAAACACTAACTAATACCCCCCCTATATAAACCAGAACTGTAAGCTAAAGGTTAACTATTGCAAAGCAATCCATAGTCTCCCACCAGTAATGATTTCTTTATTCACCGAGCTGTACACTTATTTAAGTATTTAGGTCACCGACATACTTCCTGTACTCCCTCTTAATGCCAAAGCATACTTGCAAACCCAATCTTGTTATCACAGATGAACCAGTTTTGCTGAAATCATCCTTGTAGTAAAAGAAGAGTTGTCAGGACAAAGATTTTATACAAAGAACAATAACTCCTTAAAAGGGTTGAAATGATTCTACATTCCCGACCTGTAGAAGCGTTTGTTCATGGAGTGGTCCCAAACAGAGGGACCCCTGTACCTGGATGTAGAAGTATGTGTAGGATGTTCGTACCCACCTTTGCCGCTGGCGACACAGAATCCCAGTTTCCTCCCGACAATGTAAACTTGCCAGTACCGATCCTCGATAGGATGTCATTGGGTGTGTCCTTTGGGCCATTTGCAAATGGAGTGTGACTGTCAAAATGAAAAGCATTTTCAATAGCTTTCAATATCCAAAATACATACATAGTAAAACCCTTGCTAACTCAAACTTGTTGGGACGAGATCAACTGTTTAAGGAATACATGTTATTCATCGTCATGTTTGGCCAGGTAGCTATAGGACAGCAGAAGTACTGCAAATATTGCAGATAGTAGATGATAGACGATAAGAGAACAAATTTGAGGCCCTTTTGTCCAAAGATGATCTAGAACAAATTTGGTCAAAATCCCTCTATTTGTTGAGAAGAAGATTTTTGAAGATTTTACCTATTTTTCCTGTTTGGCCCTACTCCTCTGCCCCCAGGGAGGTCTTACCTCCTGTTTTTACAAAATTTAGAACCCTTTGGCTTATGACGCTCCAGACCAAATATGATCAAAATCCTCTGAGACAGACCTGAAGCATTTTAAAGGAAAAGGTTGACGAACGATAGATGCTGCACCACGGCATAAGATCACTTGGCCCTTCGGACCAGGCGAGGTAAAAATGCTATAACAATTGCATTACATTTGAAACAAACAGTCAGATGAATCACTGCCTGGAGGTGGATGACTTACCCTGCCAGCATAGTGTAAAGTAGTACACCTAAGCTCCATATATCACAAGCAGCGTCATAACCCTGGCGCTTCAGCACCTGTAATAGACCAACACACATCTGATTACACAAAATCTCGGATCTTGTCGCCCACCATTGTACCATCTTCATTAGTTCTATGTCAGTTCGATCTATACTCTTCTTTTCTTTTATATGTTCGATCGAGTCATGTTAACAGTAAATGCACCTTGAATTAACTTTTGATCTAAACTTCATACTGCTGTGTATAAAAGACAACCTTCAGTGCCAGTTTGTTGTTCAACTTATAAACTAGTTCAGTACCCACAGGACCAGGTTGTGGTTACAATTGAAACAAGAGGCCCACTGGGCCTGCATCACTCACCTGGTATTAATCTCACACTTGTAATCTTAAAAGTGGACTAAAATACAGTTACAGGTAAAATATCAATGTTTCATTCATAAGAACCTATTCAAAGATTTAAACATATGACACCTGTGACCTTGAATGTCGAACAAGGACATTATAATATTAGGTTTAACAGAGTTTATAGTCTTCCAACCCAGCATGCTTCTGGAAAAATATCATTACCCTGGACCTTTTGGTTATACAGAACAAATCGTTTTAAGAATTAAACATATATTGACCACTGTGACCTTGAATATGGGCGAAGGTCATTCACTTGGTAGTCCTTCATCCCAGCATGTTAATGGCCAAATATCATCAGCCTTGGCCTTTTGCTTATTAAGAAGAAGTCTTTCAATGGTTTTAAACATATTTGACCCCTGTGACCTTGAAAGTGGGTCAAGGTCATTTATTTGAACAAACTTGGTAGCCCTTCATCCCAGCATGTTACTGGCCAAATATCATCAGCCTTGGCCTTTTGCTTATTAAGAAGAAGTCATTCAATGGTTTTAAACATATTTGACCCCTGTGACCTTAAAATATATATGTCAAGGTCATTCATTTGAACTTGGTAGTCCTTCATC